GACCGTGGACCTGGGTTGTCCAGGTGCCTTGTCATTCCTGCATCATCTCGGAATGGACCAGCATCTTTCTCGCCCTCTCTCTGTGCCCCCTCCCCCAGCATCACTTCCCTTCCCTAAGCTGAGATTGGGCCTGCGAATCTTCAAGATAACAGGCTGCATCTCAATTATAGCGAGGAGTTTTTTTTCGTGACTCTTCATACAGAAAAAGCTAAGGGATTTATTTTGAATTGGGAATCAGCATTTCTTCCACCGAGCAATTCAGGCGGGATTAGGTTACTTTAAGGGGCCTTGCCTGAGGAGTGCAGACATTTGCTAAGAAAAGCCCATTTCAAAAGCATAATGAAAGCTGAAATCTGTTTCCAGGTGGAAACAGCCGAGAGAGTGGGCCGGAGGGGGGAGTTTCCAGAAATTGTACTTTACTCTTTTGATTTGTCAGGTTAGTGATTTGGGATTCAGAACTGTCCTGTTCCTGTTCCTTTTTGTTGTTGTGAGTGTTTGGTGATGTGTAAGATTTAGATATTCCCACACCTCCTTTGGGAATATCAGTATCCATAACGTGCATTTTCTATTTTCTCAGATGAGGCTCTATCAGATGGTACTTTGTTTTGCACCTTCCTCACCCAAACTAGAAAGCCAAGAAGCCTAATAAAAAACCAAAATTGCCAACAATTGGCTGGTATTTTTTAATAAGTCACTTAATCACTTTGCCTTGGTTTTATCATTTATTTTGAATGATGGTAAAGCATTTTGCCTACGTCATCATAGTCAGGACAAAGTGTTGGAGGAATATGTATTTCACACATACATGTAACAGTCACATACTTAAGGGTCTTTACTTTCTTTGATTTATTGCTAATGAAATTCACTAAATAGAAAGTGGTACCCTTAGGGAAAGTGAGGTTTGATGACAATGTATTTTGGGGTTTACATACTCCAGAGCATTTGACATGATGTCTTAATAGTAATTTAACTACTTTTGGTTTTTAGACAGACACTTAAAGGTTAAAATTGTAAGTAATCCAAATGCAGTCACCATATTTTTATGCATCTTTCATACATTTACTTGGATGAGCCACAATTATAACTAAACAATACATTGTTTGTGGCAAGAGCTTTTAAATCTAATGTCCATTTTATGCACATATTCATTCTATTCTTTAGGTTTTCAAATTCTAACACACTTCTTAATGCTGCAATAAAATTGTACAGATTTCCCCTCACTAGCTATATTCTTTTGAAATGAGAATTTTTAAAAAGAGATATGGAAGAGTAAAATATTTTAGTTTGAACACTTTCATGATAGAATGAAAATAGGGACATTATAAATATTATATAAATCAGAGCATTTATTGGAATACATTAGTAATTTCTTATACTTTTAAAGTTTTACCAGTAATTAATTACTGTTAGAATGTCAAATAAAAGAAAAGGATGGACATAGAGGGAAAAGCTCATTTAATACATATAAAAGGGTTTATTATCTGTAGAGATGATACCTGCCTAGCAGAGCCTATAGAATAGGAGAACATTTAATTAAAAAGGTCATTTGGTTTTAGTAAAGGTTTCAGTCATTGAATTATTGAGGAATCTAATTTCTAATTATAAACCAACTTTAGGGGAAAAGGAGTTCTCTCTTTTAAGAAATTCATCATAGGCAGAAAAAACTATTTGTATTCTACTATAACCTTTTATCTTTTTATTATCCAGAAATTATACACTAAAGATAAGGTCCTTTCCTTTGAGGATGGAACTTTTCTCTCTCACGTGTTTTTTAAGACTGACCTCTGTGCAGTTTTCATTTTAAGACTGACTATGTGCAGTTATTGAATGTAGTCATAAAACAAGGGGCCATTGTTTGTGTAAATCAATAGTGTTTGTACATCATTTATGCTTTTCAAATAATGAAGCATTTTCTCCTCAGTATTTGACAATCCATGCTTAGTGGACTAATCCTATCTTCTCCTCTCGGATTGTTTGTTTATGTTGATCTTTTTTGACACCATTGAATGAATTTGGATGTGAATGTGTTTACTTCATTTAACTGTAGCTGTAAAATTTAATTTTTGGGTGACAAGTTTGAGATTGTCATGACTAAAATGAGGCATGAATGAACTACTTGTTTGTGATTTTTCTTGCTGAAGTGATGCATTTACATATTAATGTGATATAGTATGAGTAACCAGATTGTTCTTTTGGTTGTTCAGATAAGATATATGCTGGCAGTGAGAGGCAGCTTATGAATAGGAGTTGAGACTCGATCTGAATATGGGGGTTCACTTACTGGCTTGGGCTCTGCCCATTGGTCTGGTTTGTGTACAGAAGAATTGAATTTATTCAACTATCTTTACATCCAGTTTTTTCTTTTTACAGCACAGTGAGATGATGATGATGATGGTTGACATTTATTGTTTGCTATGTAAGCATCTTGTGCTAGTCTAGGTGTTTTTACAAGGATAATCTTATTTAATCCTCATAAAACCCCAAAGAGGAAGGTACTCTTATGAGTCCCATTTTACAGAAGAGGAAATTGGGATTTGGAGAGTTTGAGTAACTTGGTAAAGGCTAATTTAACATAAAAACTGTAGTGCTAGGATTCAACCTGAGGTGTCTGGAATCTGTACATATTTTCTGAAATCTGGGTGCCACCTTGCCCCACCACATTGAGACTCTCCAATGCCTCTGATAAATGCTTTTAACTTATTTTTGATCACACTTAAAAGCACCACCTAAATAAATAAGAAGCTGCTACATTAATACTTTTATTTATATTTATTTATGTATGTCTACCGTGACTCATTTCACAGAGGATTGGAAGCAACTCCTTAGGCGAAAGCAACGTTCGTTAAAACATATATTTCTTTACTATATTAGACATCTTTGAAGGGAGCTCTAGAACGTAATTGGGTTGTTTATTTAACTGTGTGTTTAGAGTACATATAACTTGTTTATAGAGATGTTAAGTGAAAACTGTACTAGGTACTAATGTGCAAATGTTTTTTAATGATATACTTGGTAGAACATTATTTCTTCAATGCTAATTATCTAGACAGAGGAGTCTACATTATTTTACTTCAGCCTGACTGGTAAATTAGACTTTCAGTTTTGCACAAAAAGAATAGGTTTTGTGATTACTGGGGACCAAATAAAAGATTTTTAAAAATTACTAGTTGCGGGGAGTTCATTTCAATGTGGAAATGTCAAATAATGTATATTTATTTAATTGTGAGGTTTCTAAAGATGGATTTGTTGATCTTCAAATTAAGTTGTTTTGTGGGAGAACTTTAAAAGTGAGCCATTTGATGCTGTTGTTGAATGGACATGACCAGATAGTTTTTTAAAAATCCAAATGTCAGTTATATAACTTATATAGATACTAATCTATTCTTAAATCCTTTGATTTCAAGAGAGTATTTAAAAATTGAAGAGATGAGAGTTCTCTAATTGCAAACAAGATTAGGTACGCAGCATTGATATCAGTAAAACTTCTTAATTCAGAAATAGGTTTGTATTGAGGGAAAAGATTTTTTAAAATATCAAACCATTTGAATCAGTGAATATTTCTCAACAAATGGCTTCTAAGTATTAAAGTTATTAGATAAATGGGTGCTATCAATTAAAATGTGATAATTGTTGAAAATCATACTTCATGGTTCCCAAGAGTCTATTTAAATAAAGTATCAGAAATATGAACTTTAAAATCCAACAATAAATTGCTAAAGCCTGAAATTACAAAGATATTTTTGTTGAATTAACATCACATAATGTACTTCTAGGCATCACAAATTTATAGTTGGATTTAATTACCACAATCAACTTAATTTTTAAAATTAATATCCAAGAAGCAATACAATTAGATGAACTGCCCTGGATAGGATATCTCTGTTTTAGAATTTACTTATGATAAACAGATATTTAAAAAAAACGGACTTGATTAACTTCTTTAAGAATGAAGTTGGGCAGGCAGTCATTCAGAACTCTGGAGGAATGGAAACCTAATAGTTAGCTATGCTGAAGGTAGGCTATTGGGTTCTCCACCAATGGAACACACATTTAATATATTAGGTTTTTTTTGTAGGTAGTACCTTTTGCTAGGGTTAACAAGTGGAGTTAAATTATGATGGTTTACTTATTATTATGTTTTATTTAATTTTAAGAGAGGACTACAAACAACTAAAAGAAATAGATGATTTTTCCCCTCTCTCACCAGAGCCAAGTCAAGAGAGCTCCAAGTTAGTGTACTGTATAGAATGCCTAGCTCTAAGTCTGCTTTGCAATTTCTCACACTCTCAGCATTAATTTGAACATAAATCAAATGGAAGGAAGAAGGGGGTCAGTATTTGGACACCATTGGATGAATTTAGACGTGAATGTGTTTACTTCACTTGCTGGGTGGCAGGCATGGACACTGTTCCACACTTTCCATGCCTTCCTTACCTTACCTGCTTTCACAT